GTGTATCCCAGACCTAAATCTAATTGATCACATTTTGCTCACACAAACTCTCTGTCTGTGTATGTGTGTGTCTCTGTGTGTATTTTTTTGCTTCCAGAATCATTTGGGAGTAAGTTGTAGGCAGGTTAGTTAGTTAGCGTTATTACCAGTCTGGTGATATACAACATATTCAACATGTGACCCAAGCTAGTTCAATTGAACAGATTCCTTTTTGGAATTTGAATTTTGGAATAGGGTGATGAGAAGACTGGATAAAATGATTGCTTTTCTCTGGATCTCCTCCTGGTCCCAGATAGGATATTCAAGTATGTTCTCTTCCCTTGGTTTCTGACATTTCTGGCCTGAACTTCCAGTCTTCCCTTTGATTCTGTGAGTTCCTGCATATTACTTTACTACATTACAGAGTCTATTGCTATTGCTTGCAACCCAAGAACCCTAACCACACAGCTGCCATCGAGGAAGAAAACACCCATCCTGGGAGCATGTAAGCAGAGGCTTCCTACAGTCAGAAATGTCATGGGCAGAATCTCTTCATTTTTGGAGGGTTTGTGCTAGGTGATCTTCTAATCCTATCCTCAGAGACTTTATGCTTCTGGGTCTCCCAGGCCAACCCAATTTTATTGGGGTGGGGATAATTTCAGAATTAAAAACTATCCTTCCTGCCTATTTAAAATTCTCAACCACAGTTCAACAAAAGTCCATACTTACAGAATCTTTCAGTTACTGCTATTGCTGCATAACAAACCACTGCAAAGTTTAGTAGCTTAACGAGCAACCACTTTGTTATCTTCCACAATTTTTTTTTTTGAGACAGAGTCTCGCTTTGTTGCACAGGCTAGAGTGAGTGCTGTGGCGTCAGCCTAGCTCACAGCAACCTCAAACTCCTGGGCTCAAGCAATCCTCCTGTCTCAGCCTCCCGAGTAGCTGGGACTACAGGCGTGCACCACCATGCCCGGCTAATTTTTTCTATATATTTTAGTTGGCCAATTAATTTCTTTCTATTTATAGTAGAGACGGGGTCTCCCTCTTGCTCAGGCTGGTTTCGAACTCCTCACCTCGAGCAATCCACCTGCCTCGGCCTCCCAGAGTGTTAGGATTACAGGCATGAGCCACCGTGCCCGGCTTCTTTCACGATTCGTTAGGTTGATTTGGTTCAGTGGGGTGGTTCTTCTGTTCCAGGTCTCACTGAGTTGGTCAGGGCCTCTAAGGACTGGAATATGTGAGAGGGCTGACTCATGTTGCTGGCAGTTACTGCTGGCTCTTGCCTGGGATCTCAGCTGGGGCTTTCAATGGAGTGCCTCAAATTTTCTCCATGTGGTCTCTCCATGAGGCTTGGGCTTTCCATAGCATGGCAGGTGGGTTCCAAGAGTGAGGAAAAGGAAGATGCCAATCATCTTAAAGCCCAGACTTGAAAGTCCCACCACATTACTTCCACCATTTCCATTGGTCATATAGTCGCAGACTTAACCTCAACTCAAGGAAGAGGAAATATAGACTACCTCTTGATGGAGGAGTGGCTTGTGCAAACAGATAGGAAGGAACGATGGCAGGCACCTCCACAGACTATCTACTAGAGTGTGTCACTCAGTTAGCTAGGATTTTGAGTCTAGAGTACTGTTTCCTCCTATCACTCACCATGAGATCACCTGCAGGTTTTATCAAACCCTGCCACAGTCAGCACAGAAGTTACTTCTTCCTGGAAGCCTTCTCCAACACCCCTTGAATTAGAGGTTTGTACTTGGTGGTTCTCAAACATCTTATATATATTTTTTTTTATTTTTTTATTTTTTTTTTTTTTTGAGACAGAGTCTCACTTTGTTTCCCAGGCTAGAGTGAGTGCCGTGGCATCAGCCTGGCTCACAGCAACCTCAACCTCTGGGGCTCAGCGATCCTACTGCCTCAGCCTCCCGAGTAGCTGGGACTACAGGCATGCGCCACCATGCCCGGCTAATTTTTTTTTGTATATATATTTTTAGTTGGTCAATTAATTTATTTCTATTTTTGGTAGAGACGGGGTCTCGCTCAGGCTGGTTTCGAACTCCTGACCTTGAGCCATCCACCCGCCTCGGCCTCCCAAAGTGCTAGGATTACAGGCGTGAGCCACCACGCCCGGCCTTTTTTTTTTATTTTTAGTATCAATTATATATACACTAACTTATACATACAGTTATATCTTCCATGAACATATATATTTATATATTTGAACTTATATGTATTTTGAGTGTATATATTTGAGTCAATAAATTGTTTTCCTTTTTTCCTTCTCTCCTTTCTTTCTTTTCTTCCCTAAGTACTTATTAAGTGCCTATTATAGCTGGGCACTAATGCAGGTGCTGGAGACACTGCAGTGATCTAAACAGATGAATTTCTGCCCTCATGGGGCTTACAGTCCAGAGAAGGATATGGACAATTAAAAGAAAATTCAGATGGTGTTAATTGTTATGGAGAAAATAAAGCAGGGTCATGTGACTTGTGTGTGTGTGTTTGTGTGTATTGTGCATTACAAGTTCTACCCAAGGAGGAGGCATTGCAGCAGAGATTGGAATGACAACAGGAAACAAACCAGGAAGAAAGAAAATTCCAGACACATGGAACAGCAAGTGCAAAGTTCCTGAGGCAGAAATGTGCTTGGCATGTTCAGAAAAGTTATGGGGTTAGAAATAGGGAGAGATATATTACTTGAGATCAGAGAGAAAAACTGAGACCAAATCAATTAGGATCTGAGTTCTATCCTAAATGCAATGGATTTAGAATGCTGGAAGGTATTCAGGTTGGAAGTGACATGATTTAATATATGATTTTTCAAAGATTTCCTTTGGATACTATGTGAGGAGTGACTTGTGGAGGGCCAATGGGAGAAGCAAGGAGAGCAGCTGGGAGACAGGTCCAGTTGCTCAGGTGAAAAGCCATGCAGGTCTGAATATGTCATCTCTGGATTCTCAGCATCTAACCCAGTATTTATTATTTGTTGTTTGGTGAAGGAGTGAATCCATCCATGCAGCATATGTTGACTGACACATACTACTGGTGAGCCCTGTAGTGGGTGCTGAGGATGCATCTGGGAACAAAAGAGACAAGACCTTACCTTCATGGAGCTTTCATCCATGTGAGAAAAGGAGGTAGTAAATATATAAGTAAAAAAAAAATATGGTGTTTCCAATGATAAAAAGTGCTGTGAAGAGAAATGAAGAAGGAAGAGGGGGAAAGGAAGCTGAGATCAGGATGGGTAGGAACTTAGAACAATTAGGGAAAGCCTCACTGATGAAGTGCATTTAGACAATGTCCATGAGGAGATGAGGGAGTGAGCTATTTGGATTTTTTGGGAAAAAAGTGTTCTAGGCAGTGGAAATCACAAGCGCAAGGCCTCTGAGGCCTGTGTGCCTGTACTACATGAGTCAATGCATGGGGGCTGGGCGTGGTGGCTCCTAGCACTTTGGGAGGCCAAGGTGGCAGGATCCCTCAAGGTCAGGAGTTTGAAACCAGCCTGAGCAAGAGTGAGACCCTGTCTCTACTAAACATAGGAAGAGGCCAGCACGGTGGCTCACGCATGTAATCCTAGCACTCTGGGAGGCCAAGGTGGGTGGATTGCTCGAGGTCAGGAGTTTGAAACCAGCCTGAGCAAGAGCGAGACCCTCGTCTCTACTATAAATAGAAATAAATTAATTGGCCAACTAATATATATATATAGAAAACATTAGCTGGGTATGGTGGTCATGCCTGTAGTCCCAGCTACTTGGGAGGCTGAGGCAGAAGGATCACCTGAGCCCAGGAGTTTGAGGTTGCTGTGAGCTAGGCTGACGCCATGGCACTCTAGCCCAGGCAACAGAGTGAGACTGTTGTCTCAAAAAAAAAAAAAAAAAAAAGAGTGAATGCATGGGAAGTGGGTGATGTGTTCAGAGAGGGAAAGGGAGGGCGAAAGACAGGTTTGTGTGGGGCTTTGCAGGTTACTGCAAGGTTTTGGAGGAGAGACATAAACTGACTTGGTTTTTTACCAGGATCCCTGTGGCTGCTGTGTTGAGAGCAGACTCCAGGGAGAAAGGGTGGAAGCAGGGAGAGCAGTGAGGAGGCCACTGTAATAGTCTGGGTGGGAAATGATGGTGGTGATAGTGGAACTAGTAAGTGGTCAGATTATTTTATTTTATTCACATTTAACACATTTAATACTGATTCAACATTATTATCTAATATACTGTCCATAATAAAATTCCCCACCCCCCAATTCTTTTTACATAAAAAAAGAAATTATCGTGGATGCAATCAAGTCTAACCTGCTGCATTTGGTTTTCCCCTCTTTCATGCCATGATATTTTTAGGAGTCCAGGCTAGTCGTTTGGTAGAAAGACCCACATTCTGGTTTTGTGTGATTATTTTTTCACGATTCAGGTTAGCTTTTTTTTCTTTTGGCAAGAATATGACAGAAAAGTAGCATTATGATTTCCCCATTGCATCATATCAGGAGACACATGACAATTTGACCCATTATTGGTGATGCTGAGTTTGAACACTTTGTTAAGGTGGTGTGTCTGCCAGATCTCCCCATTATAAAGCAAGCTGTTCTCTGTTGTAATAAATAAATGCTCCGTGGGAAGATACCTTCGGACTGAATATACTGTTGCCCAACAACCTTCCACCCAGTGCCTTTCGCATCTAACGAACAGCCTCCTGGCTTCTGACCTAGTGCCTCAGTTTGCTCATCTGAAAGATGAGGATAAACGGTCCCTGAGGGATGCTCGTTTTGGGCGTCCGTGCTTGACATACAATAAACGCTCCATAAATGTTAGCTGTTACTGGACGAAGGCAAGTGTGAAAACAGTTAAGGGCAGAACGAGGATTGCATTCAGGTTCTTCCGACCCCGCAGACGACGGGAGGCTAAAGCGGCCCGAGGGTCCCACGTGGCCACGCCCTCCGCCACGGAAGCCGGGGTGGGGGCGCTGGATGCCAGGGCCTGCCGCGCAAGGCCCCCTGGGACCGGTAGTGCTGGGCGTGGCCGCGGGACTACATATCCCAGAGGCCCCCGCGCCGCGGCTCCAGCGGCTGCCGCCTCGGCTCCTCCACAGCGACGGCGGCGGCCGCGGCTGAGACGGTGGCGGCGGCGCCGGCGGCTGCGGGCTGAGCGGCGAGTTTCCGATTTAAAGCTGAGCTGCGAGGAAAATGGCGGCGGGCGGTGAGTGCAGATAAAGGAGGCGGCGGCGGCGGGCAAGGGGGTGGAGTGCGCGGCGGGGGGAAGAGGGCGAGTTCCCCCGGCCGCGGGGAGCCGGTGGCTTCGGGTTCGCGGAGGCGCTGAGGGGCGCGCCGGGAGGGGTGCGCTGAGCTAGTTTCGGGGTGTCGGGGCCGCGCCGCTTCCCCGCAGGCTAGGGGCGGACCGCGGCCGGAGGAGGGGAGTCGAGGCTGGGCGGCAGCCAGCTGGGGGACCCTAGAAGGTGCCCGCGCGGAGGGGCTCACTCAGGGAGTTTGGGGGGCACCGCGGGGGCCCGCGTTCCCCTCCTGTCCCTGAAGTTTTGTCCCCTTCTGCCTCCCCAGCCCTTGGAGCTGCTTTTGAACGCTCCCCGGGTCGTCCCCCCACTCCGGCTCCTTCGCGGTTGGTGGGGAGCACTGGGGGGCGCCGCGCGGACCCCCACCCTAGCCTGCAGACCGGGCTCGGAAGCGGGCTGGATCGTGTTGCTGTGTCCTCCTGCACTTGGGCATTTAAAAAACGTTTTAACACAGATCATCTGCGGAATTTTCATTTTGGGCTCGGGTAGGTTCTTAGCAGTTTTCTCAGGAAAAGGCATTTTTTACTACCTCTGCGTGAAGGCTGGGAAGTGGCAAGTGGGAAGTTGGTGGATTAAATTTGGGGTTTGGCCGTCTTTATTATTACTCCCCCCCCATCTCTGGTTTTCTTAGCGTACGTGGATCCAGTTTGTAAAGATTGAAGTAGACTGTCTCGTGCATGCCTTACAAAGCTAGCCACGAGCCGTTGGGAGACTAAGTTGCCTCCTCGGCAGTTTGAGGGCATCCAGGTTCGTGGAAAAGTTAACCAGAACAGCGGTTGTGAGAGGGAGAGAGCGAGCATCGCCTCCGAATCTCACTAGCAGTAGGAGTTCGGGATTCCCAAATAGAATGACTCGGAGCGTATGAGGTTTTTTTCGAAGTCGAAACTTTTTTTTTTTTTTTTTTTTTTACTCCCAAATGTGAAGACTTCCTATTTGTAGTTTTTGTGCAGCGCTTCAAAGCCAACCTGTTTTTGTTATTAAGCCTGTACGGTAAAGAAACAGGAAGGCGAGTGCCAGCTGTCTTGCTGCAGTGGTTTTAAATGCAGTTGAATGAGATGAGTGAGAGTGGTAGTACTATTAAGATCGCTGCATCTCCTTTATTTAAATGCCTGGCCTGGAATCCACCTAACTGGTATGTGGCTGCAAGAAACCTTCGGTATTTGTTGCAGCAGGTTGTTGAGAAGGTGATTGGGGGAAAAAAAATCATAGGTCTTTAGCAAATGCTGCATAAACTAGAATGTTAATGGAAATCTGTAAGTCTGAACAGTTTTTGAAAAAAATCTTAAGTTATTGCTTGTTTATTTAGAGTAGGTTCTGGCTGGGCGCTGTGGGTCACGCCTGTAATCCTAGCACTCTGGAAGGCCGAGGCGGAAGGATCTCTTGAGTTTAAGAGTTCGAGACCAGCCTGAGCGGGAGCCTAGACCCTGTCCTTACTAAAAATAGAAAAATTAGCCTGGCTTCCTGGCGTGCACCTCTAGTCCTAGCTACTCAGGAGGCTGAGGCAGGAGGATCGCTTGAGCCCAGGAGTTTGAGGTTGCTGTGAACTACAGTGACGCCACTGCACTCTAGCCAGGGCGACAGAGCAAGACTCGGTCTCAAAAAAAAAAGCTTCTACTCCACAATACCCCAAATGGAAGGGTACAGAAACACTGAAAAGTGAATGTCTTCCACCTCAAACCTGCAATTCCCCCTCCTCGGAGCCAAGGATTTTACAGTGTCCTTGGTCTTTGGAATAATTATTTTAAGATTTTCATCTGAAATCACCTCTGCTGGATACAAAACGCAGGGAAATAAAATGAACAGAAGAAAGGGAAAATTTGGTGAGAATACTGTTTTCTTTTTACAGTCTTTAAAAAAATGTTGATAGCTGTTAGAAAAGCTCTTTTGAACTTATAACATATGTTGCCTTATCTGCTAACACCATTGAAGAAGTAACAATCTGTAGGGCTTTAGGGTGAAGACCCTGCCAGGGTTCATTGTTTGTATGTAAAACGAAGCCCTTGCTTGTAGCATGTAAAATGATATTGAACACTATAGCTCCTGTCACTGGAGGTTGCTTCAGGTTCTGCATTTAAATGAGCGGTAATCTAAATTGCTTCTGATCCTAAATTATAGGGGTATTTTATGTATAGATAGAAATGACTTAATTATCCAATCAGCATTGAAAAGGCATATACTAGCTTTTGGCATATGGGAGTACATTTTAGAGGTGGGGATTGTGGACTAAGTGGGGAGGCTGTAATGTTTCTGGAGTAGTTATAAGAAATGTTTTTTATTTTTTTATTGAGTTTCTGCTCAAAGGATAACATAAAATGTTTACAGAGGCTTTGAAAATGCAAAACAACTTAAGCATAATCAAGATTTCTCTTTTTATGTTTTAGAATGGTTGTTTTTAAAATTTGCTAACACTAGCAATTAGAAAAATTCAATGATAATTAGAGCTAGGTTGTTAGAGATTATATTATTAATTTCACTATATATATTTTTATTTATTTCATCATATTATGGAGGTACAAATATTGTTAGGGTTACAAATATTGCCCCTGCCCCCCCAATTTCACTATATTTTGAAAATGATTATGCTGTGCATTTTCTCCCTTCTATAAAAATTATTTCTATAAGCACCCCTCCCGACCTCCGAAGCAAATAAATTAGAATCCAGTAAGGAGTGAATGTACTGTTGAAGTCTGGACATTTTTCTAGGAGATATGTAAATAAAATAGTTCTTAAAATGATTGCTTGTTAATATCTTGACATTAATTTCTTTTTGAATAAGCTTCCTTGCTACATCAGGAACATTACCTTAAAGATTAAAAAGTTGTGTTTGTGTCTTTTTTGATTTTAGTCTTTTGTGCATTAGCAGTATGATTCTAGAATAATTCCTTTTAACTTGAAGACTATTATGTTATTGAGGAGTCATTTAAAAATATCTTTGTAGTTTGAACAGGGTAAAATAAAAAAAAACCTACTACTCTACTATTGTTGTATCCCTAATTGGTTGTGAAAATAAATGGCTCTAGAGTTTATTTTTGCATTTTTTGAGATATAATTTCAAACCTTGGCCAGAGGATGTGGAGTTCTTCTGAAAACTTTTAATTTGTTGCAAGTTTAGAATGAGTATAGCCTCCAGTGGCTGTTTGTATACACAGCAAATAAGCCACAATTTAAAACAATTGTTACTCTGTTAAGGCTACCTAGGACTAGAAAAACAAGAGTTGATCATGATTGAAGAGGTACTGTAGTTTTTAGTAGGTTAGACCAGAGAGATTACCTGTACCAGTTTGGTTCGAATCTGTGTTATAACTATTTCTTTTTTGCATTTTTTGAGTGGTTAAAGGTCTGGGAGTAGAAAATTAGTTTTGAAAATGTATGTTAACTTTTTCCCCTTTTTTCTCATACTACAACAGAGTGGAAGAAAAAGGTGACTTAAAGTGTAGATTCTCAGGGATAGCTTTGAGATTGAGTGCTGCAGTAAAAACGTAGGCATTTTCTCTCATGAGTGCTTTTTGGGGTGGGGGAGGAGATTACAAAATGAACATTTCACAGTTAAGGTGGAGGAGAGGCTTGTAGTAAGGCTTATTCCATCAGTTTGTTACCATGTTTACCAGGTAAATGCATTTGGTTCATTGTTTTTCTGAGTGGGCTTCTGGGAGATTATTTTAGGTTATGGATGCAGTTTATCCACAGCTTAACCTTATTTTCAGCCCCCTAACAGATGATGGAATTGAGTTGAATTTAATCGCCTTTCCCTTTCGTACTTTCTGGTGGAGAGTTGTTAAATGAACAGGAAAATGGCCAGAATATACACAGCAGGAGTAGAAAGGAAGACCTGCAGTGTTTAGAAGGCTGATTTATTCACAAACTGGATAATCTTCTTAGACTACATACTGCCAGTACCCAACTTTGTCAGCATTAACTAAGTTTGGTAGGTACTGCTGGCCTAGGTCAATTTAAAGTAGGGGCAGTAATAAAGGTTTATTTAACTGTTTAGTAAACTTTGTGTCCCAGAAGCAAAGGAAAGAAGTCTGACAAAACTGGCAAACAGGTTTAACCTATTCAAAAGGATAGTCTAAGAGTAAACGGACTAGTGTCTTTTTTGTTTTGCTGCTTGCTTTTGGTCAGGAACTCCTGTGTCTTGTTTTTTCTTTTCTGTTAATTTTTTTTCTTGATCTAGGAAAGGGTGTGACTTTTTTTGAGGGTATTCCTATAAAGGTATTGAGATGTTTAATTTAACTGGTTAGAGGCTATGAGGGTTATGAAGCTTTAATTTTGGAAACCAGGCTGACTACATTACTATTTTAACTCTTGGTTATCCACATATGATTGAAATATATTGGCCTGGGTATCACACAGTAAAGGATAATCTGCTCCCTGGGGCTTTGCTTTTGGTAGCTGTGGCAGCTGAGTTGGAGTGGTAGATGGATAGATGGGAAAGGACTGCAGAAGTCAGCATAATCCTCAATTAGGATAAGCCTTATGGTTAATTGAATGTTGAGTGTACAGGTTAAATCCCATTATAACAAACTCCAGGGGACTAGCCAAATTATTTTGTTGTACTGGGATTAGGTTTTATTAAATATTGTTTAACATAAATTAGGTTTTTTTTTTAGCTGGAGGTGTTAGAAGTTTTGAAAAATTTTCTATTTATTGTAACGATTTGGCATGTTTTTTATGAAGCTTCTATTTTTAGTGCTTTTGCCTTTAAAAGAAAAGACCCCTGTTGAGCTAGGCAGATAATTTATTGTCTACCTCCCCATCATATCTTGAGTAGCTCCATTGGTTTATCTCAACTACCTAATAAGTTTATTAAGTACTACCACCATTAAAGTGTGGTGAGAGGAAATGGGAAATTCCCCAGGTTTTCAGGTGACTGGTGCTGGTAATTTTTTCTGTCCCCAACAATTTTTTAAAA